TAAAATCTTGTTTTGAGATTTTGTACCATTGTTTTTATTTTTAAAAACTATAAAAAAACCACAAAACAATAACAAAGAAAAAGTTATAAGAAATTCAAGAGGAAAAAAATCAAAATTAAAAGAAAAAAATAGGCATCAACTGCTTCTTTCCAAAGACCACCAGAAATCTATAATTATCCAAACTATTCTGCATATATGCCTAAATATATCTTTTCCCCTTCTTTCATTTGTCCTTTTCTCATCCATTTTTCCTTCCCATTGAACAATTTCTTTCCCTTTCACAGTCTCTGTTGTACATCTTAGATTTTCATTACTCTTTCAGATATCTCACACTAGTGAGATATTATGATATTTGTATATGTGGATCTGATTTATTTCACTTAACAATATAGTCTCTAGCTTCATTCATTTACCTACAAAAGCCTTGAATTTATATTTTTATAGCTGAATAATACTCCATTGTGTAAAAATATCACATCTTTTTTATTCATTCCTTGGTTGATGGGAATTTGGGTTATTACTGGAGTATTATTCAACTATAAAAATAAACTTAGGGTAGGGATATAGCTCAACAATCTAAGCACCTGCCTGGAAAGTACAAGGACCTAGGTTCAGCCCCTGGTACTGCATGCCATGCCAGCCTGAAAACCCCGTGTGCACTGTGCCAGCAACCTAAACAGGGCGTGGTGTTGAGCACCTGTAATCCCAGCCCTGTGAAGGCTGACACAGGAGGATCACTATGAGTCCGAGCTGCTGAGCAAGACCTGTATCAAGTAAATAAGAGATAAAAAATATTTCAAAAAATATAAACTTGAGGCTTTTACAGGTAAAGGGATACAATTAGAGGCCATACTTATATATGAAATAAATCATATTCACATGTGTAAAACACCATTTTGTCTCCCTAGAAACTGAAAGAATAAATATGATCTAAAAGTACACAGGCCGGCAAGATAGCTCAGCAGACTAGGTGCCTGCTCAGGCAAGCACAGGGAACAGAGCTCAGTCTCTGGCACCACATGCTGTGCTGGCCCTGCCCCCACCCCCATTGTGCTGAGCTGGCCACTGAGACTGAGCGTGGTGGTGCATGCCTGTAATCACAGCGCTAGGGAGGCTGAAAGCAGGAAGATTACCAGGAGTCAAACCTGTGTAGTGAGACCCTGTGCCAAATACATAATAAAAAGAATAGATATTGTGAAAGAAAAAAAAAACAACTGCTCAAAAGGAAGAAACAACTGTGGTGGGGAAAAAGAGGAAATACGAAGGATATATAAATGATATATGATATATATGATATATATGACATATATATGTGTGTGTGTGATAGCTAAGATAATTGTACTACCAATTTCTATTAGTTCATTGAAAGGAACACTACATTGTTTTATCAATTTCTCGTGCTTGTAGCTGGTAACCTGAGCAACCTCTTTGCAGATAGCAATATACAATTTAATAACCATTTTTCACTTCTTATCTTGTTTTGAAGATGTTTCACTTTTATTGTTATTTTTAATTTTTTATAGAAATTTTCCACTTTTAAAATACATGTTGAGAGCTTTTGTCTGTATTTATATAGATAGTCAAATCTATTGTTAGGTCCTCACAATTGGACCCCTCCCAACCTGAAGAGAAATCTACACATCAACACTTTGTTCAAGCAGGAAAGTTCCCCCCCCCCCCATGAGTCTGAGAGACTAAACTAACTCTGCTTATTGAGTTGGTTCCCAGGCCTGGTTCTCAGGCTTATATGAAAACATGTAAGTCTATAAAATACCACTATTTAAGTCAGCAACATGCTACTCTCATCCTGCACTTCCCCTAGAAGCACTAGACACAGTGGAGGATCCCTCTCATGCCTAAATTCATCTATAAAGTTCATTTTCTTCCTTTATTCATGGTCAGTGGCCTTTTCATCCTTGACCAGGTCACACTCAATCTGAAATAAAACTATTTGTGTTCGCTTCAATCCTACCTGTCCTAGTGTTCTCAGTTGCTCCTCCGGGTCTAGCCTGACATCTATAACTATGTGTACATTAATGGAAAGAAAACAAATGTTATACAGTATATACTCTACCTTTTCTATTTCCATACATTAATGGGAAGAAATAGAAAATGTAAACACCTGTGAACTTACAGGTCTGCCACTTATGGACCTTGATATGGATTCTTCAAAATGCTTTAGAAAGTGAAAGAATTATTGAAAGTTTCTTCAGCATGTAAATATCAGACATTTGACTGAAGCAGTCAGTACTTTACCTCCTATTCTCATTTGTTGAAAGCAATTAAAAAAATTCTATTACTGATGATGAACCCAGAGACTTTTTACTAAGTAACATCTATACCTACCTCTGCTTTCATCTATTAAAAAGATGTTGATAGAGAGTCTAAGTTGTTAAGTGGCCGAAGCTGGGCTCAAACTTGCAATGTTCTTGCTTCAGGCTCCCTGAGAGCTAGGATGATAAGCATGCACCAGTATGACCTGCTGACAATGAAGTTTTTAACTTTCAATAGATGCAAGTTTGTGTCTTTGGTAAGTCCTTACTGAGACACAGTGTGGTGCAAGGCTCTGCACTAGAGTTAGGCATAAAATAATGTTGGCTTTTCTGCTTGCATCTCTGGAGAAGACTAAATAATTCTTTGCAAATACAAGATTTACAATTGTCATAAGGTTAGAGATAAAGTAGTATAAGATTCACAGATTGTAATTATTAGATTAAAATAACTGGGGAAAGTTTTATCATATATCATACATGTGCTACCTTGAAGAATAGGTAAGATTTAATATGTCCAGTAGGGGTAAAAGGAATTCTAAAGAAAATAAAGATGAGAAAAGGTATGGATATAATATTGGCATTCTGAGCAATTAACTTGTTTTATAGAAAAGGGTATTAAAATAGGAAGTAAGGCATAATCCCTTATTTGTAGCATAGATGGCTTTAAATTAAGCATTCATTTTTTAGCTAATGAATTCCTCTACACAAAACTGTATATTTTTGATATTTGGGAACTATTTTGAACTATACTGAAAGATAAGTGCCTAAAATTTATGACTTAAAAAATCAGATAACCTTAATGTTGTAGGAAATTACTATAAAATGCCTTTTGGGGGGTAAAAAAAATGCCCTTTATTAATAATCTCCCTATTCCAGGAAGTATACTTAATTATTTGCATAGATTGTTTTCCATTTATTCCATTTAATAAATGAGATACATTATCCCTACTTTAGAAAACAAAAAGCTAAAGTGTAAACTAGGAATGCTGCTAGTAAGTGAAAAAGCTAAGGTCTGCCTGGGCGCCCTAAAACTATCCTGTATCCCAAGGTAATAGAATGAGCACATACATGTCTCTACTTTTCAGAAAAATGAAACAAAATACACAACTTTAAAATGCCAGATTTAAACCTTTTTCACATAAATACATGCTTTCATACAAATTAAGCTGAATGCTAGTCAATGAATCAAACATGGTCTTCAAGTCCACGTGTTGCCTTCAAATTAAGGATGACAATTATGTACAATTTACAAGCAGATAGCTTTATTTACAAACAGCCTTATTATTGAGTTATAACTGGCAGAGCCATTTCTAAAAATATTTCTCAGATGTTTGCAAGTACCAGGTACATAGTTCGACTTTGTGATCTATTCCAGCACAGAGGACATTTCACAGCAGATAAAAATATCTGTACATGACCCTGCCAATGCCTACAGTTTTGCATAATTAATACATATTTTCAGGAATGGCATACGTTTAATGCCTTAAAGCTTGAGACTCGGTGACTCCAGTTGAAACCACTGCAGTGGCCAGGATGACAGAGGGAGCGGTACAGGCATTTCAGAGTTAGAAGTAATGCAACACCCTAGAGCTTACCCTCCCAGGCAAAAAAAACCCTACCACCCCACCTACAGGATCCGGATGGCGCACCTTTACTTCCGCTTCCGGGGAGGGACTTCCTGGCCCTCCGCGGTGAGGGGCGGAGCTAGAGAGCCGCCGGAAATTGCCCTACTTCCGGTACGGGAAACTTAGCTGCCGCTCTCACCCGGCTTGACAGGCGCGGTTCGTGCAAGTAGAGCTCCCTCTTTTTACCTTGCTCCTGCCTAACCTTGAACCACGTTTGCCGCCGCCGTCCCGTCCCGCAGCTTCAGTCTCCGAACTCGCCCCTCCCTATGTTCCGGGGCAGGAGTCCTGACAGCGAAGACCCGCCCGCCGGTTCCCCATCATGTCCGAAGTGACTAAAGAGCTAATGGAGCTGGTATGGGGCACCAAGAGCAGCCCCGGGCTCTCGGATACCATCTTCTGCCGCTGGACGCAAGGTACCCCAGCTGGGCTGTCACTTTCCTTGCGAGGGTTTGGCTGTGGCGCCTGTCGCGGCACACCCTCGCGTGCTCACTGTGCCGCCCCAGTCCCCGTGCACAGTACTGGAACTGGATTTTCTAGAAAAGCACGGTCTGCCCGGGGTGGGGGTGGGGCTGGCAGGAGGCTGGTCACAGCTGCCCACTGCCATCTTCGTGCCACTTTGCAGCTGGGGACAAGCGACGGGGGGTCGATCCCACTGCTGGCCCCGCGGTGGACAACAAAGGTGTGTCCCCTGCTCGCGGGGCAGTTTCCAAGCCAGTACTGCTGTGGCCGCCCGGACCTTAACCCCCTGTATGTGTTTAAGATTTCGTCTGTTTTTCGTGGGAGAGAAATCCACAGGAAGGTCAAGGTGGCCCGGTTAGAAAGCAGTTTTGTTTGTCTTGTAGTTATGTTTTGGGGTGGCACCTTGAGTACAAACACAGGGTTGTTTGCAAGTTCACTTGGCCTCATACCTGGTTTTGAGATATGTTCGTATCTGATCGTATCTGTTACTATTTGAAAGAAATACAGTCACTGCACTTCTTGTGCTGATCTTCTTGTTCCCCACAACAGGATTTTTGCTTATAGAAAAACTTTATTAATGATACAAATAATAAGGAAAGTAAAATAAAAATAACCATTTATTGAATTTCTTCATTGTTCCAAGCTCCATGCTAGGCATTTTGTATTAGTACTTAACCCTAGCTTTTAAGTTTCTATAGTAAAATATAACTAACACATTCTTAAGGTGATTTAAGAAAAATATGGTAAAAATAAGAGCATATCTTTGGAGTCAGAAAGATCGATAATGTATGTATGGAAAGCACTATTACTGTTTGTAAGACACCTATTCGCAAAAAATTGAGTGATTTTTTTTTGTTTTGGCATAGTAAATAAAAATTTCTATTTCAAAATGTGGTAACTTTGTAACAGAAATTTGCAATATAGGCAATTCCCTCTTGTCTTGTAACTCTGTCAATTTCATAGAGCTAGTAAAATTAGAATAATGATTTATTAGTTATTTGGACTATTTAGTGTATTACTCATGTCTTCCAATGAGAAAAGTGAGTGCCAGAGGTTAAATGACCAACCCAAATTTGCACAAATTGTTTTGAACCAGGGGTGAATTCCCAGTCTCTCAACTCTTAATCCAGTTCTGTTTTCATTATTTTGCTTTGAGTTTTTAAACGCCACCTTTTTAGTTGGATTCTTTTTACCCATTTTGTCACATAACTAATATTGCATTTGCAGCTTTTATTTTAAAATTTGGCCTATTTTTTAACCACTAGTGAACAATTGTAAATAAACTCTGAAGGATTAAGGAATGTTTGCTTTCATTGTAAACAGTAAAGACTCGTTACACATTTGTCAATGTAGCGTAAGTTAATATCAATTTATTTATATTGTGATACAAATTCAAGGAAAGCTTTTTGACAGTTGTAAGAGTAAGAGCACAATTTGTGTATTAGGCATCGACTTGAGTTCTAGTTCACATTATTTAATTTTTTAGAATCTCAGTTGCCTTCTCTGTACAATGCAGACAGTAGTATTGCCAACCTTATAAGGTGGTTATAAAGATTAAAGACCACATAAATACATTTAGCCAATTAGCACAATAGTAAATGATCAGCAAACGATAGCTATTGCTACATAAATTTAAAAAGCATTGAACTGTGGACTAAGCCAAAGATCATGTGACTTTGCTTTGATGGCTGTACTATATATTGATAATCATTATTCTGAAGAAAAACCCCACTTTATCCTGACATATTAGAAGGCTTTTTCTATTTTCCTTTACTCATGTGAAAGTTTCTTAACCAGATTAAAGATTAGTTCAATGAATACCATTTCAAAATAAAGGATTTTTCCCCTAAAGCTTGTACTTATATTGTGGATCTATGATTCTTCCTGATCTTACACTGGTCAAAATTTTAAGGCAACATTTTATTTTATTTTTTTTTTTAATTATCACCTCTGAGTCAGAAGGGAATGCTGTTAATAGATTTTGTTTTGTTGACTGTTGTAGTCATGCCTTTATCCTTAGAGGTCATTGCTGAATATTGCTGTGGCAGTCACTTGCGTTTGTAGAACAGGCACAAGACATTGCTTTGCTGCATTAGTCACGTGACATCAAACCTGGCTTTACTTTGTAATCAATAAAACTGTGCTTGAATTGACAACTGCAGTTTCAGTCATTTAGAAGCAAGATACAGGTATGAAACATTTAAAGTAAATAAAAAGTTCTATCTATGATTTTCTAGTCTGTATAAGAAATTATATTTATTGGTTAAGTTCAGTTATATCGATTGTTTGTTAAAACTGCATGAATGGCATGTAGGGAGGCCAGGGATACAGCTCAGTGGTGCACCACCTGCCTGGCAACCACTGCCTCCGGAGTTTGATTCCTGGTGCCCATCCCCTGAAAAGAACAGCATATAGTTATTGTTTTAAAATTATTTTGACACTTTTAGATACTTCTGTAAATCTTTGTGTTTCAAACATGAGGCAGGTTTTTGCTTATTGTTCTGCTTTTGCCAGATTTCATTTCATTTTATTTTGCTGCTGTTTTTGTTTTTGTTTTTGTTTTTGAGACAAGGTCTCACTGTGTACTTTTCAGAGTGGCCCTGAACTCCCAGCAATCCTCCTGTCTCAACTTTTCCAGTACTGGGATTACAGACATGTGCCACCAGGCCTGACTTGCTAGCTTTTATTTTGAAGATAATAAGCCATTTAATTTAAGGGCTTGAGGTTACTTTTTTAAAATTTCCAATTAATTCAGTACTCCGGAGGTACTGGCAGGATGCTAGCCTGGGCTACATAGTGAGCTCAAGACCAGCCTCAATTTTGTAGTGAGACCCTGTCTCCAAAAAATAAATAAATACATAAAATAAAATTTAACCTATACTTTATTCTTTCCTCCTTCTTAGTTGCCTTAGTTATTTTTAAAGATGAGCATACATTTTTTTTACTTTCTTAGTTTATTAGTATCACTTATTTTCCAGTAGTGATGAACCTACCACATGTGGTAGTGGGCTGTTTGTTATCATTGGGAGTTCTAAAAGGTTCACCATCATTGAATTATACTAAGATTTGAGCCCCACAGTTGAAACTTAATGAAGTGGGAGAGAAGACCATAAACACCATGTAGTACGCAGTAAGCATATTGAGAAGGTAAAGAGATAGGGAATGCTGGGGTGGAGTCACCTGGATAGTCCTACTTTGGCTGAAATTTGAGCAAACACTGGTCCTGCAGGCATTTGAACAAGGTGTCAGAGTGACTGGTCCTGCAGGCATTTGAACAAGGTTATAGTGACTAGAGCAGGAATGGAAGGGGAGAGAAATGATACCAACCAAGTCACGTTAGACTTTTGGACCATTGCTACTTTTACCTGAATCAAGTGGGAATTTTTTGAAATGTTTGGAGCAAAATCTTTCACTTTTTTGTATTTTAGGGAAGGGTCTACAGGGTGTTCAGGGTCTCACTGCTAGATCAGACTTGTAGTGATCTGTCTGTTTACAGCCTCCCAAGAGCTGGGATTACAGGTGTGCACCACCATGCAGTCTCAATTGCCATCTCAGCAACCCCCAGGGACTGGGCCAACATGGCAGTTCCTGGGGATCGAACCCCCTGCTTGCAGGTGCTTTAATCCACCAAGCTATTTTGTTGGCCCTCAAGTTTTTAGCATTGATTTGGTTGCTTTGCTTAAGGATAAACTGTAGTAGATTAAGTGAGATAGTAAGGTCAGATGAGAACCATTGCAGTAATTCAGGAGAAAAAGTGGTGGTTTGCCTGAGTACAGTAATGAGGTGGTAGAAAGTGATCGGATTGGCCATATCCCAGTGGAAACAAACTAAGAATTATCTAGATCTAATAGATGTATCATCATGTCAATGTTATAAGTGAAAACATTTAACTTACTGAAACTCATTCTTTTCAATGTTGATTGTGTAGCTCAGTGCTTCTTGCAGAATTTTTCTGGGGAGGACCAGTTTCTTTGTTTTTTCTTAAAATTCCTCCTCCTTTTGGTTGCAGCAAAAACGGCACTATAAAGTGTAAGTATGGCTTTTCCAAAACTTTACTTATAAAAGTGTGTGATGGTTGTAGTTTGCCAATCTCTAATCTAGATTATAAATCTCATAAACCACTTTTCCACCATTAATTCTCCTATTGCTCCTAATTTTCTTGTTCCACCTTAAAAATTAGCCACAAAGAATTTTGCTACTTAGGTTGTGTTGTTTTGCAGGGGACAGTGTGATGGTTGAAGAGAACTAAGGACAAGGCTATATTGATAGAAACTAAAGTTTTAGGTTTTTAGTATAAATGCTACTTTAATTACATGATATAAAAATGAAGTTTATTACATTAATTAAGGATGTAAAAGTGAAGGATCAAGTAAAATATATGTGTAAAATATATTTAGTAGTTAATTCATGGGGGTAAAATTTTAAAAGTATGTTTGAGCATTTATTTTTATGTGATTTTAGCATTATATCAAAATAATAAAATGATATACCCTGTCATTTTTTTTCAAAGTGAGGATAGTAGTGCAGATCACATCCTTTCAGAGATTTTGTTGTTAGAAGTGTTCTTTGTCTCTCAAGTATATGTTTTCTTTTCTCCAGTGTAAAATCATAATTTACCTGACAACCAGCTTTATAAGTTTATGCATAACCTAGGTTCTAAGGATACATAACAAAGTTAATTTCATGGTACTATTAATATATACTTTTTTTAGTTAAAGAGTTAAAAATAAATATCATAAATCATGTATTATGCTTAACAATTTTGACTATGTTATTTAACCCTTACAACTCTGGAAGATGTCAAAAAACCAGTGTAGTTATCTTCATTTCTTATTTATTTTTAATTTTTAAGAGAGACTACAAAATAGTATTGACAGAAAAATTATAAATGATACAGAATTTCACTAAGCAAAATAATATGAATTTTACAGAATTTGTTCTATTGCATAGTGTT